TAGCGTTGTTGACATGGCCTCGTAAATAGCTGTGGTCAGAGCTCCTCTCCATGTGTCACTGTGGGATCCCCCACCAACTAACAACACCATGCTGTGCGTGGGACCCCCCCCCACCAAACTAACACCATGCTGTGCTTGTGGGACCCCCCCACCAATAACACCAGCTGTGCTGGTGGGATCCCCCACAACTAACACATGCGTGCTGTGGATCCCCCACCAACACACCATGCTGTGCTGTGGGAACCCCCCCACCAACGAACAACCATGCCTGTGCTGTGGTATCCCCCACCACTAACACCATCTGTGCTTGGATCCACCACCAAGCTAACCCATGTTTGCTGGTGGATCCCCTCCCCAACTAACACCATGCTGTGCTGTGGGATCCCCCACCAACTAACACCATGCTGTGCTGTGGGATCCCCCACCAACTAACACCATGCTGTGCTGTGGGATCCCCCACCAACTAACACCATGCTGTGCTGTGGGATCCCCCACCAACTAACACCATGCTGTGCTGATGTTCATAAGCTGCTCCTGGTGACCAGATAGGACATGTTCCTCTAAGCAGGTGTTGAAAGAGAAGGAGGGTATTTTTGAGATGTAGGTGTGTGTGTGTGTGTGTGTGTGTGTGTATTTGTATGTGGTCATGGTCAATATGGTCATGAAAATATTCTGGAGAATAAAGATGATGCAAGGAATCGTAATCAAAATGAACCTGAGTACTTGGGCTCAAATTGGGTCTGATATTTCTTGAAATATGCCTCTTGATCTTATGCCATGCTTCATCATCAGACATGTTCAAGTTTAGAGCTGTTGTGAGACCAGATTTTGAGTAATGGGTTGGTGGAGTGACTGGTCCAGGAAATGGGTGCTGGAGGTTGCCAGGGACTCCTGCCAAAGTTGAGAGGGGAGAGGTGGCTATTAGTGGAAATGTTGGCCTTAAATCATCAGGGATGAAACCAACCCATCTGCATGGGAGAACATCTGATGATTATACACAGTATACTGTTACGACATCGATGCATAAAAACAGTTACTCAGTGACAAAATCACCTCAGCGAATTAAATGTGCTGCGTTTATATATATAGACATAGGACATGTTAAATTATATACAGTGAATCTATTACATGGGAATTCTGGTGCTCTCACAAAGATTCCGATATTGAGGAATCTGGGAATTCTGATGTGGTAATTCTGTCGTTGCCATGGCAAGTTAGTGCACTGTGTCTGGGAGATGTTCTTGCCCTGGGAATGTCTGTGTTCCGTCATTGTGTCAAGGAACCACAGAACGGACAGCTGTTCCACAGACGGTGATGCGGTGGTCCGCGTCAGGCCACATAGGGTTGTGCTGCCTAACGCATCATGACAGGTCCTGGGCTGGGAGGCTTGGACCCCTAATGTCCCTATACTAGACCAGAGACAGAGCCAGAGCCAGGACTGTCATGGTGGCCTGAAAGGCCTGGATGTTTATGTATATACATACAGTGGCTTGCGAAAGTATTCACCCCCTAGGCATTTTTCCTATTTTGTTGCCTTAGAAACTGGAATTAAAATTGGTTTTTGGGGGGGTTGTATCATTTGATTTACACAACATGCCGACCACTTTGAAGATGCAAAATATTTTTTCTTGTGAAACAAACTTGAAATAAGACAAAAAACTGAAAACTTGAGCGTGCATAACCCTCCCAAAGTCAATACTTTGTAGAGCCACCTTTTGCAGCAATTACAGCTGCAAGTCTCTTGGGGTATGTCTCTATAAGCTTGGCACATCTAGCCACTGGGATTTTTGCCCATTCTTCAAGAAAAAACGTATCCAGCTCCTTCAAGTTGGATGGGTTCCGCTGGTGTACAGCAATCTTTAAGTCATACCACAGATTCTCAATTGGATTGAGGTCTGGGCTTTGACTAGGCCATTCCAAGACATTTAAATATTTCCCCTTAAACCACTGCTTTAGCAGTACAGTGGGGAAAAAAGTATTTAGTCAGCCACCAATTGTGCAAGTTCTCCCACTTAAAAAGATGAGAGAGGCCTGTAATTTTCATCATAGGTACACGTCAACTATGACAGACAAAATTTGGGAAAAAAATCCAAAAAAATCACATTGTAGGATTTTTTATAAATGTATTTGCAAATTATGGTGGAAAATAAGTATTTGGTCAATAACAAAAGTTTCTCAATACTTTGTTATATACCCTTTGTTGGCAATGACACAGGTCAAACATTTTCTGTAAGTCTTCACAAGGTTTTCACACACTGTTGCTGGTATTTTGGCCCATTCCTCCATGCAGATCTCCTCTAGAGCAATTATGTTTTGGGGCTGTCGCTGGGCAACACGGACTTTCAACTCTCTCCAAAGATTTTCTATGGGGTTGAGATCTGGAGACTGGCTAGGCCACTCCAGGACCTTGAAATGCTTCTTACGAAGCCACTCCTTCGTTGCCCGGGCAGTGTGTTTGGGATCATTGTCATGCTGAAAGACCCAGCCACGTTTAATCTTCAATGCCCTTGCTGATGGAAGGAGGTTTTCACTCAAAATCTCACGATACATGGCCCCATTCATTCTTTCCTTTACACGGATCAGTCGTCTTGGTCCCTTTGCAGAAAAACAGCCCCAAAGCATGACGTTTCCACCCCCATGCTTCACAGTAGGTATGGTGTTCTTTGGATGCAACTCAGAATTCTTTGTCCTCCAAACACGACGAGTTGAGTTTTTACCAAAAAGTTCTATTTTGGTTTCATCTGACCATATGACATTCTCCCAATCCTCTTCTGGATCATCCAAATGCACTCTAGCAAACTTCAGACGGGCCTGGACATGTACTGGCTTAAGCAGGGGGACACGTCTGGCACTGCAGGATTTGAGTCCCTGGCGGCGTAGTGTGTTACTGATGGTAGGCTTTGTTACTTTGGTCCCAGCTCTCTGCAGGTCATTCACTAGGTCCCCCCGTGTGGTTCTGGGATTTTTGCTCACCGTTCTTGTGATCATTTTGACCCCACGGGGTGAGACCTTGCGTGGAGCCCCAGATCGAGGGAGATTATCAGTGGTCTTGTATGTCTTCCATTTCCTAATAATTGCTCCCACAGTTGATTTCTTCAAACCAAGCTGCTTACCTATTGCACATTCAGTCTTCCCAGCCTGGTGCAGGTCTACAATTTTGTTTCTGGTGTCCTTTGACAGCTCTTTGGTCTTGGCCATAGTGGAGTTTGGAGTGTGACTGTTTGAGGTTGTGGACAGGTGTCTTTTATACTGATAACAAGTTCAAACAGGTGCCATTAATACAGGTAACGAGTGGAGGACAGAGTAGCCTCTTAAAGAAGAAGTTACAGGTCTGTGAGAGCCAGAAATCTTGCTTGTTTGTAGGTGACCAAATACTTATTTTCCACCATAATTTGCAAATAAATTCATAAAAAATCCTACAATGTGATTTTCTGGAATTTTTTTTCTCAATTTGTCTGTCATAGTTGACGTGTACCTATGATGAAAATTACAGGCCTCTCTCATCTTTTTAAGTGGGAGAACTTGCACAATTGGTGGCTGACTAAATACTTTTTTTCCCCACTGTATGCTTAGGGTCATTGTCCTGCTGGAAGGTGAACCTCCGTCCCAGTCTCAAATCTCTGGAAGACTGAAACAGGTTTCCCTCAAGAATTTCCCTGTATTTAGCGCCATCCATCATTCCTTCAATTCTGACCAGTTTCCCAGTCCCTGCTGATGAAAAACATCCCCAAAGCATGATGCTGCCACCACCATGCTTCACTTTGGGGATGGTGTTCTCGGGGTGATGAGAGGTGTTGGGTTTGCGCCAGACGTAGTGTTTTCTTTGATGGCCAAAAAGCGCAGTTTTAGTCTCATCTGACCAGAGTACCTTCTTCCATATGTTTGGGGAGTCTCCCACATGGCTTTTGGCGAACACCAAACGTGTTTGCTTATTTTGTCTTTAAGCAATGGCTTTTTTCTGGTGAACTCTTCCATAAAGCACAGCTCTGTGGAGTGTACGGCTTAAAGTGGTCCTATGGACAGATACTCCAATCTCCGCTGTGGAGCTTTACAGCTCCTTCAGGGTTATCTTTGGTCTCTTTGTTGCCTCTCTGATTAATGCCCTCCTTGCTTGGTTCGTGAGTTTTGGTGGGCGGTCCTCTCTTGGCAGGTTTGTTGTGGTGCCATATTCTTTCAATTTTTTTAAATAATGGATTTAATGGTGCTCCGTGGGATGTTCAAAGTTCCAGATATTTTTTTTATAGCCCAACCCTGATCTGTACTTCTCCACAACTTTGTCCCTGACCTGTTTGGAGAGCTCCTTGGTGTTCATGGTGCCGCTTCCTTGGTGGTGCCCCTTGCTTAGTGGTGTTGCAGACTCTGGGGCCTTTCAGAACAGGTGTATATTTACTGAGATCATGTGACAGATCATGTGACACTTAGATTGCACACAGGTGGACTTTATTTAACTAATTATGTGACTTCTGAAGGTAATTGGTTGCACCAGATCTTATTTAGGGGCTTCATAGCAAAGGGGGTGAATACATATGCACGCACCACTTTTCCGTTATTTATATTTTAGAATTTTTTGAAACAAGTTATTTTTTTCATTTCACTTCACCAATTTGGACTATTTTGTGTATGTCCATTACATGAAATCAAAATCAAAATCAATTTAAATTACTGGTTGTAATGCAACAAAATAGGAAAAAGTAATACTTTTGCAAGGCACTCAACACTACTGTATTATAAAAAAAATAGGTTGTGTTGACTTAAGTTACCATTAAGTTGTGCCTCCTTGGAGGATGGACTGATTTCTCTTTTCCATGGGTGACTCACTGTCTTGGTCCAGTCTCAGGAAACAGTTAGGAGTCAGGCACAAGTCCCTGGTGTGTGAAAGTGAGTGTGGTGTTGGTGGTGGGGTCATTTGTGAGGAGTTTTCCAAAATCAGAAATGTGTTAGTTTTTCCTCTTTTTTTGCGTACATATTTATAACATGTATTCTTCTCCTCTCTTTCAGACGTTGTTCACACCCAAGGCCCCCTCGACGGCAGCCTGTATGCCCGAGTCCACAAGAAAGAGTCTCTCGAGGGTGTGGTCACAATCAACAGCCTTCCCGTCCTCGACCACCCCCTAACCAACGCAGACCACACCCCCCAACACCCTGACCACACCCTCCCAAGCTCTGACCGCACCCTCCCGGTAGTGGGCCACGCCTCCCTGCCCGCGGTCGACCACGCCCTGTCGGTCAGCAGCGACTCTGGGAACTCGACAGCATCCGTCAAAACCGACCGCACCGATGACCACAGTCTGTTGCTTCATGGAGCGGTGAACGCCAACCAGAACCACAACACACCCAGTCATCCCCCTCTCAGTCCCCAGGAGAAGAGAGAGTTGGACCAGCTTCTGATTGGCCTTGAGGCCCCCATGCTCCACCGCCAGGCTTACCTGGCTACCTCCACCAGCCCCGGAGGGGGAGTACGCCACCTCGTCCCAGCCCAGGTGCACGTCAACGGGCATACCCGGCTCATTGCAGCCCCCTCCGCCGAAGAGCGCGAGACGGACATCTTGGACGACGAGCTGCCCATCAGTCAGGAGGGTAACAGCGTGGACAGTCTGGGAACACTCTCGTCATTGGAGGGCCAGGCCACGCCCGCAGAGCTGTACTACCAATCAGAGATACCCGTTAACAGGCAGATCGACGGGCCGTACCTAGAGAAGCTACGGGAGATGCCGGTGCACCGAATACAGACTTCTACGTCGGCGCAGGAGCGGATCATGGACTCCAGTTCGCCCCAGGAGGAGGAGTACTCTCCTAACAGTTACCAGAACGGGAGTATGCAGCGCTCCCAGTCCTTCGGGACCCCAGAGCCGGGACACCCCAAGCTGCCCAGGGCCCCTGAGAGGAGCACCAGTAGCAGGGAGGCGGTCCAGAGGGGGTTGAACGCATGGCACCAGTACAGTCTGCCAGACGACCCCTTCGGTCCTCCCTTACAGAGCACCCACAGTCTGCCCCACTTCCCCCCCACTGCCTCCCAGCACGACATAGAGCAGTCTATCGAAGCCCTCAACATGCTGATGCTGGATCTGGACCCACACACAGGACAGGTGCCCAAGTCCTACAGCGCCCCCTCTGGTGAGAACAGTGTAGGAGGGTCAGCCCAGGTCCCCTTCTCCCAATCTCTGGCCAGGCCGTCCTACCAGGCAGACTCAGCCATCCACGGCTATAACATTAATTACAACGCCTTCGGACAGCCTCTGAGGTCAACGGCGGGCCGGGTGTCAACGTCGCCCGTCCAGAGTCCTGTGGCTGAATCTCCCCTGTCGTACGCCCCCCCGAGGTCCGCCTCATACCAGCCCCACACCAACACCACTCCCATACACCCCCCCGAGCCCTACCACACGCGCCCAGCCCAAGGGCCTGGTTCCGCCCTCTACCCCTCCGACCCCTCCCCCACCTTCGGACAACTCCAGATTAAGCCCCTGAACTCGTACCCAGGTGGGACGGTGGTGTCCCACTCCCCAGACCTCAAGGGAGGGTCTCCCTATCCCGGCTACAGCACCTCCTCCTCCCCCCTCCCCAACTCCTCCCCCCTGCTTAAGGAGCCAGAACCTGAGGAGGAGAACCTCAACCTGGAGGGCCTGGTGGCTCAACGCATCGCTGGTAAGTGACTACCGGACTGAGAATTAGATTGAATATCCCTGTTTAGTTTCACAATTTTCATTCATTTTCATATTTCATGTTTCATTATGTCATTTTCAAAAGCAGAGGTATTCGCTGTCACAATACATAAAAGCAAAAATACATTATAAGGATGTCATATGTGCTTATGACGTGTCTTATAATGCATTATTACTGCATCATAACACCTTATAACTGTTACCAAACATTCTTTAGTGGGACAGTTACAAAGGACTGTGTTTTGACTGTCATCCTTACAGGCACCGCTGCAGAGTCACAATGAACGCTTTGTTCCAGAACATGCTGTGAACTATAAGAGTCCAGTCATAGTCTAGTGCAGTATATCAACGTCATTCTATCACCACTGGCGTATTCAGAGAGGTGCACTGTTTACATGTACTCTAATAGTTAGAACATATTATCTACTTCTATATTGGAAATGGCAGCTACTGTTCCATGTCCCCAGCTTTGTCTAACCTTGGCAATAGGTGTAATCATCATGGCATTGAGCTAGATAGATAGAAAGTCTTAGTTGTGCAGGACAGATTTGGCCTAAAAACATACGGTGAGCTCTGAGCTGTGTCCTACAGCAAGGGGAGAGTTGGACACCATGGAGATGAGATGAGATATAAGGTGGTAAGAATAGACATGCTGGTTGAGCGCTCAGCTACCATGCATTTTCCACATTGACATCCCACCACATGTGTAAGCCTATGGCATGGTTCTCACAGATGCCACCAAGTGGGCTTATTTGGTAGTTGCCTTTGTCTTTCTACTGCGGATGTTGATTTGGTATTTGGTATTTTATTAGGATACACATTAGCTGTTGTGAAAGCAGCAGCTACTCTTCCCGGGCTCCACACAGAACATATCACATAATACTGATGTATGGTAAAGCAGTGTTTCTCAATCCAAATTCTGGGGTATTCCAGAAAGTGCACATTTTGGTTCTATCCCTGCTCTAATTTCTCTCATATCTCATTTTAACGTCCTTCTTTCATCTGTGTGTTACTGCCCCTGACTTCAGAGAACAAACGTTATATACCTTCATTTTACTTGATTCATCTTTCCTTTCTGTTTCTGTCTCTTGTTCTGTCCATCCATTCCTCTGTTCTGTTGGACCACCCTTGGACCACCCTTCACGCCATTGCATCTGCCTCCGCACCTCCTTCCTCCTCCTCCTCCTCCTCTTCCTTCTCCTCCTCCTCCTCCACCTCCTCCTCTGCCTCCTATCCACCACCCCCACTGTGAGCAGAGTACAACGCTCGTATTCAGGGCATCAACGAAAGCATTACCACTACGCCACAATCTGACCGCCATCGCTCCTATTCCTTCTCTGGTTTGTCCAATATCCACTGTCCGTCTCGCTCTCTCTCTACTCGATCTTCATATTTATTTCGTAATAGATAAAATAAGGATAGAGAATATTATAGGCATATATATAGCGATAGCTATTACTTTTATCTATTCTCTATATGATCTCTAGCTAATATAATACTATATCAGTCTCATCTCTCTTCTTTCTTTCTTCTCTCTCATCCTTCTTCTTCTCTTTCTCTCCTCTATCTCTCTCTCCTCCTCTCTTTCTTTCTTCTCTCTTCCTCTCTCTACTATTCGCCCTCTCTTCTCTCTCTCTTCTCTATCTCTCTCTCTCTTTCTCTCTCTTTCTCACTCTTCTCTCTCTCACTCTCTCTCTCTCTCGCGACAACATTCCTCTTAAAATAAGCAAATCACTTCTTTGAAGGTTGGACTCCATGGTGTATGAAACATGGAATATACAGTGTAGATACACTCTGAAACTTATTTCCAGATCCACTTTTTAGATCCACCCTAAAGTTGTCGTTTTTCCTAAATACATTCCTGAAACTGAAGGAAAGCCTTTTGGAATTCCTGACGCTGTTGTTGACGTTCCAGGGATGCGTTCACGTGGGATGACGCCGGAGGAGGCTCAGGAGACCGTCCGCCGTCGGACCACCAGCGAGGGGCACTACCAGAGTGGCCATGAGGACCCTCCAGCCCACACGGGGGCGCCGGTGCGCTCCCCTGTCCACTCGTCAGACTTCCACATCCTCAACCCTGGAGGAAGACCCCGAGAGGTAGAGTACACACCACTATCCAGCAACAGGCAGCAAGCTCTCTCTCTCTCTCTCTCTCTCTCTCTCTCTCTGTCTCTCTATCTCTCTCTCGCCTCTCTCTCTATCTCTCTATCTTCTCTCTCTCTCTCCTCTCTCTCTCTTCTCTTGTCTGTCTCTTCTGTCTCTCTGTCTTCTCCTCTCTGTTCTCTCTCTCGCTCTCTCTCTCTCCGTCTCTCTCTCTCTCTCTCTCTGTTCTCTTCTCTCTCTCTCTCTCTCTCTCTCTCTCTCTCTCTCTCTCTCTCTCTATCTCTCTCTCTCTCTCTCTCTCCCTCTCTCTCTCTCGTCTTTATCAGCTTAAAATATTCTTCCATTCATTGAATAGTTCATTGTTTCACTGTGAGAGTAACCATGTCTGTTGTGTGTGTGTGTGTGTGTGTGTGTGTGTGTGTGTGTGTGTGTATGTATGTGGACTTTGTGTTGGTGTGTGTGTGTGTGTGTTTGTTATGTGTCGCTATCTCTGTATTTGTATCTGTGTGTTATTTTCTGTCCTCGTGTGTATTTCCTGTCTGTGCGTGTTTGCATTACCTCTATGTGCACATTGTCCCTGTCCGTGTGTTTTCTGGCTCCTTCTGTGTCTGTCTGTGGGTGTGTGTGTGTTATGTCGTGTGTTGTGTGTGTGTGTTGTTGTGTGTGTGTGTTTTGTTGTTGTGTGTGTTGTGTCCCCTCCCTCCAGGGCCCCATGCACAGCTACCGCGAGGCGTATGGGGATGATGATGTTGACGGTGGGGCTGCTGTCAGTCCTATGTTCAGCAGTGGTGGTGAGGCCTACCCCCTGACCCCTGCCTTCCCTGTCTCACCTCAGACCCCTTACTTCAACATGTGTAAGTTCACATTCCCTGCAGACAGAGGGCGCCCGTAGACCTTACTCTATTGCCACAGTTAGTAAATCATAATTATACGATTGCAATAAACATTAAGTATGTAGTGCTACACAATAAGTGGTTGTAGACGGAGGCCCAGTTCCAATACTTTTAAGATGCATCCTTCTTTACTGCCTTCTTATAAGGGAGGAACGATGCACTCTGAAATTATTTGGACAGGGCCAGAGACAGTCACTGCTGTTACTGTAATTGTCAATTGTTGGTGTTTTGATTGGGACTAATCGGTGGTGGGATTCCTAAATTAATTCAATAACACCTTTCTTTCTCTTGTAGTAAACTAATACTAATTCCCTCTGTGGAAAAAATTATGAGAGGGACTGGAAATAGGCACACGTATCTAGAGTGACTTACAGTAGTGAATGCATAAATATATATATTTTTTCATACTGTTCCTCTGTGGGATTCAAACCCACAACCCTGGCATTGCAAGTGCCATGTTCTACCAGCTGAGCCTCATAGGAATAGATAGAAGAGAATATTGTAGTTTCAACACTATAGTATTAACCTATGACCTATAAATCATGTCAGGTTAGACAGTAGATTGCTTCTTGGCACCATAGAGATATCATAGAGGTAAATACTGTATCTATCTGTATTTATCTTAATGCTTGACACATGATCATTTCAATAGACAGACTGCTTTTGGCTTATTTGGGACCAACCAGGGTTAGGGCTCCCTATTCCTGCAGTGGTGACCGACACACTGTAGTTGAAGTAAGGACCCGTTTTGAGCCCCCAGAGACCCCCAGATACCCCCCTCCATCAACCCCCTTTGCCCTGCCCCACTACCCCTGCTCTGGCCCCTGCCTGCCCTCTCTGGAGGCACTATCTTTCAAACAGACAGACAAAGAATTGATATGGGATTCTTTGGTAAGTGTAGGATGCATGGAATTTTCGGATTACTGCTCAATGTCCAGTCCACCACACAAACCCTAGCCAAACTCTTTTCCACTGCTGGCAAACTGCTGGAATTTCAATTCACTTCATGAATTGACTGAATAAAAATGGATTGGACCCCAATCCTGGCATGTAGTCATTGTGTCTGTCTCCTTGGATATACAGTACTACTATGTAGTTACTAGATGTACCGTTCGGGATGCTATTGGTTCCCTCTCCGTGTCACCAGTCCCTTAGTGAACTGTTCTGTGTTGGTCTGCTTTCTGCATGCTGTGTCCCAACTCTTGCTTGGCCAGGGCATGTTGTACTGTAGGTGTCTCCATTCACCATCATTGTTGTCCTGTTGTTGTAGGTTGTTGGTTGTTTGGATCTGACACTGTGTATTCTGTATGGATCATCTCAGATCCTCTGTAGGCTAACACTTACAGTTTGGTTTGGTCTCTCTCTCTCATGATCTCTCTCTCTCTCTCTGTTTCTCTCGCTCTCTCGCTCTCTCTCTCTCTGTTTCTCTCTCTCTCTCACTCTCTCGCTCTCTCTCTCGCTCTGTTTCTCTCTCTCTCTCTCTGTTTCTCTCTCTCTCTCTGTTTCTCTCTCGGTTTCTCTCGCTCTCTCGCTCTCTCTCTCGCTCTCTCTCGCTCTCTCTCTCTCTCTTTCTCTCTCTTTCTCGCTCTCTCTCTCTCTCGCTCTCTCTCTCTTTCTCTCTCTTTCTCTCTCTCTCTTCTCTCTCTCTCTCTTCCTCTCTGTTTCTCTCTCTCTCTCTCTCTCTCCTCTCTCTCCTCTCTCTCTCTCTCTCTCTCTCTCTCTCTCTCTCTCTCTCTCTCTCTCTCACACTGTCTCCTCCTCTCTGGCTCTCTTTCTCTCTCTAGCCCGTTCTCCTCCAGGCTTGGCCAAAACCCCTCTCTCTGCTCTAGGACTGAAGCCCCACCATCCAGCAGACATGCTCCATGGTGGATCAGGTCAGTACACAAACACACACACACACAAACTTTTCCCATCTAGGTTTTCTTAGTCCATCCAATTGCTTCTAAACACCTGCAAACCTTCTCTTGGTCTCTTGCTTCTCTTTCAATGGTTTACTCCTCTCTTTTTCTAACCTCTCCCTCAATCACCAACTCTTTTCTTCTTCTACTTATTCCTTCTGTTCTGTCAGACTCTGAATCTGTAAGCGATGAGGAGCAAGGTAAGGGCGTTTCTATGGCAACACGTGGCACCAACCTCTTACCCCCGTCACACAGAGTACCCATAATCCTTTGTGTTCGGCCATGTTTGAAAACCCCTCGTTTTGACCGGAGGATCTTGTTGTGGCTTCTCAGTTTTGCTCTACCTTCTGTTGTTCACCTCTAGAGGAATAACACAGTCCCACTATACAGGCTACAACCGCAAACATTCTGTTTTGATTGGCTATCAGTGGTTTAAGTCCTGCCTCTTCTCGAATTTCATTGGGTTCCCGATGCGTGCCAATGTTTTTTGGGGCTTGCCCGGAAGTTGCTGAAACGTGATGAAAAAGTTATGGTTAAAATAAGGAATTCGTTAAGGTGTGAGGTAAGGTTAGGTTATGTATGAAATCTATATTTGGTTGTTAGCCTGTTGAGTGGGCCTGTATAACGCCTCCACCACTTTGCATCTGTATTAATAAACACTTTGAGTCTCCCTCAGGATGTTTCTGTTGTCTATTCATGTTTCTTTTCTTTTTATACCATTTTGGGAATGACCTCGCCAGGTTTTATTTCTGTCTCTCCTGTTCTGTCTTTTCTGTCGGTCTCCCTCATAACTGCATCCCTTTGACTCCCTGTTTAGCCAATAACAGGGTAATAATAACATCTGTGTGTGTGTTTTTTCTCTACAGACGGCCGTGGTTATGGTGGACACCCCTTTAATGATCCTATATCTTCCAGTAGTCCCATCCACAGCCCAGACGGGTGAGTACTGTACTGTACCCCCACCCCACTGTCTGCCTGGGGCACAGAGTTTGGATAACCCAGGGAAAACTCTTCAAATAAAAGGAATAAAGATAGTCCTCAGCTCAGCTCAGTGTTTCTCTCTCTCTGCAGCATGAGGATGGCTTCCTCCATTCGTCCCCAGGCTGACTCCGGCTTCCACTCCCACCCCTCCGAGAGTGTCCGGCACACTCCCGTCCCGTCCCACGGCCCCCACTCCCCTGAGGGCTCCCAGGTCAGCGTCGTGGGTCCCCTCCACACCGTCCCGGGAAGCCCCAACACCCTCCACCGCACGGTGGCCACCAACACCCCGCCAAGCCCCGCCCTCCAGCGCCACCTGGCCAACCAGGCCAGCCCGGGTCTGGCTCGTCACCCCACACCGCCCAATGGGAACAGGGTGCAAGTCCCCGGCAGCCCTGTGATCCCCGCAAGAGGCTCCAGAACCTCCGCCGTCCCTCCTAGCCCTTTGATGGGGCGCCACCCGATGGCCAGTGGCCACATTACGCCCGATGACAGACAGGGGACACCACCCATGCCCTCCTTCCCAGTGTCGCCCCAGCCGATGCTTCCAGAGAAGAGGCGGCTGCCCAGTGGAGAGAGGTCCAATGGGGGGCTGTCGTATGGGACTCTGGATGGGAAGACCACCACACCCACCTTACCCAGTGGAGGCAGCACGCCCAGTGTGTCCACCTCTCACACCCTACCGGACCTCTCCAAATTCTCCATCTACGGTGAGAGAGGAGGTCCAATCCTAAATGAACCCCTGTAGCATCTAGCCCTAGTCACGGCCATGTTCTTTATACCTATTCAATCCATTCAGATCTAGCCAAGTGAGAGTTCATAGTCAACCATGCACAGCAGATACTATACATATTAAGTCAATCAGTGCTGGTTTTGATGGATGAAAGTCTCTGAATCATCACTATTTCACTGCTTTGACCATTGTCACTACTTCTACAGACCAGAGTCCAGACATCAGGCTGAACGTGAAGTTTGTCCAGGACACGTCTAAGTTCTGGTACAAGCCAGACATCTCCAGAGAGCAGGCCATCAGTCTGCTGAGAGACAGGGAGCCTGGGGCCTTCGTTATCAGGGACAGTCACTCCTTCAGAGGGGCCTACGGCCTGGCCATGAAGGTGGCCTGCCCACCTCCCACCGCCAACAAGAAAGGTACAGTAGATCTTTAATCTTAGTCGCAGGTCTAGGATCAGATCACCCTAACCTGAATCCCAACCTTAATCATTAGGTGTGAAAACGCAAAAACTGACCTTCGATCAGAGACCTTTGATTAAAGGATGTGTTTACTGTTTTGCCTTTTGTCAGTTGGTGACATCACGAGCGAGCTGGTGAGGCACTTCCTGATTGAGACGAGCTCCAAAGGCGTGCGTCTGAAGGGCTGTCCCAACGAACCCTACTTTGGCGAGTTCCAAACATGCACATTCAACAGAGAATTTGTTCATTAGGCCTCCAGCAAGTACGTACACTTGCTAATCATGGGTATGTGTGTGTATGTGTGCAGGATGCCTGTCTGCCCTGGTGTACCAACACTCAATGACTCCTCTGGCCCTGCCCTGCAAGCTGATGATCCCCAGCAAAGATCCCAATGAAGAGGCCCTGGAGCTGGACACTCCCACTGACACAGTGGCCGAGCTGGTGAAACAAGGAGCAGGTAGGGACAAACTGCACCCTGCATTATTCAGCCCATTCTCTTTGATTTGATCATTTATCCATCTCCATTCCAAGCCTTCTATTACAACAACAGATACATACACAACAACAATCGAATAATAACTGGCCAAATTCTGTTGTACTTTTACTACTGTAGTTACTAGTGTAATTACTATGCAGTTTCACAAATACATAGTTTTCAGGTAGTACAGTGGTTTTGTTTCTCCTCTCATGCTTGGATACTGTGTTATGTTGCAGTAGCACAGCAACAAGTCCCCGAGGAGGCCCATGGTAAATACTGGACTGTGTTTTTGGCATTATTAACCCTCTTGTCCCCACACTCCCCAGACTGATATTTCAGCTCTGCCTGGTCACCACAGAAGCTTCCCTCTCACTACCATGCCATGCCTGCCTTAGTCACATCTTTGCTTGTCATGGTTGGAGTTTTTCAAACGAGTGAAGTGTATTTATATAGCGCTCTTCTTTAGGTCTTATGCATGGCAGCTGTTGTGAGGTTTGAAACATTGTCTTCTGGATTAGACGTGTGTTCTTTTCTCTTTGGTAGAGATAGCATAGCATGGCGCTATGTACCAACAAATGCACGGAGTGAGCATTCTAACTGATAAAAGAAGAAAGGCAGATATGGAGTCACTAATATACAGCCAGCTGTTGCCTCGATCTGTTTTTCAACACTTATCAACAACATGTTCAAATGATTGCACTAATTGTTGATAGTTGAACTCCTTCACTGCTTCTTGTTTTTTTGTTCTCTCCCAGCATGCAACGTTCTTTACATCAACTCTGTGGACATGGAGTCTCTGACTGGTCCTCAGGCCATCGCCAAGGCGATCAGCGAAACGTTGGCCGTCAACCCGTTGCCCGCAGCAACAACCGTCCACTTCAAAGTGTCGTCGCAGGGCATCACCCTCACGGATAGCCAGAGGAAGTGAGTTGTAACCATGGAAACAGGAGCACCCTACACCCACAGTCAGAGCCATGGAAATGTGTTGTTATTCACTCATTGATTCTGACTGCTACACTAGTATGTCAAAGTGTTTTACTTGAATTGAGCTAGCTTGGTGACAAACTCTGAGATTTCCAACACTAACTCTGAGTTTCTTCCTGCCCTAGGGTCTTCTTCCGAAGGCACTACCCAATCAACACTGTCACCTACTGTGACATCGACCCCCAGGACAGGAAGTAAGTGTGTGAGACCAGATCTTTCTACTGTTCTAAAGTAGTGAAAATAGTTCAAATGTAGCCTACGTAGGGTCGATTTTTTGATTGTTCCTCCAAAATGAATTTGTCACATCTCATCTTCACAGGTGGAGCAACGAAGGAGTTGGAACGGCAAAGTAAGTCTCACAACTCAAATCACTCTATTACACATAGATTAGGTCATTAAAGAGATGGGACAAAAAAGTCCCATGGTCCACATTGGCCTATAACTACATCAAATCATGAACCATCTCCTTTATACTCTAAACAGGCTTTTTATTTCTCTTTAAACTTCAGACTGTTTGGTTTCGTGGCACGTAAACAAGGAAGCACAACGGACAACGTCAGCCACCTGTTTGCCGAGTTGGACCCCAACCAGCCTGCTTCAGCCATCGTCAACTTCGTCTCCAAAATCATGAAGCGATGAAACCAACGACCCCCGGCAGCCATTTTGATTTTTTTCTTCTATTTTTTTTCTTCTTAATTTTCGTAACTTTTCTTCCGTTCTTTTTGTTGAGATGTGTTCTCTTTGTTTTATTCTACGAGATGTTATGTTTGAAGGACTTGGAAGTAATCCAAGATGGCGTCAGAGGAAGTTGTGGCTGGAGTGGTGACAGTGATAATGTGGATCGAGCTGGTGGAGGAAGATGGTTTCTTCAACAGTTAGTCCAAGTGGAGGAGCTGTGTGCTAAACTAACACAAGACTAGAGGAGTATCAGTTGGAGAAAAGGACACTGACATTCATCAGGTTTTTGGATTGATTTACCAAAGGTAGCACTCAGAACAAGTATGTCATTATTAGTTGGTCAGTTTAAGGTGTTGTATGTCTTCTTCTCTATTTTTATTTTACGATGGGACTGTTGAAACGAACCAGACAAAAACAGAAAGAATGCTTTCTTCATCAACTTTCTTCTGTCTTCAGAAAAATAGTTGGCCTCAATGGCTTCTTACTAAATAATATTTAAGAAGACATTTTGCATGCTAGCTCGATCTTTAAGCTTGGTCCTTATACGTTCCACTAAAGTCATTTGTGAACCCTCGAGTGGACATTTTCCAGGCCTGTTGTATGTTGTAAAGGGCTCAACAGCGAGAAAAATAAACTGTTCTCAACTTCACAGAGCAGACCAAGCTTCTCATAAAACACATTGCTAATGTTAGGTCCAGACTTGACCAGTCGATCCTGGAGCGCACTGATTGATTTCAGATGTGGGAAATGGATTACTCTAGCCTGTGGAAAGGTAACTGGTGAATCTACTGCTGTCACACCTCCTGTCCACACGATGGCGCTGATTATCCATGTTTGAACTCAAATCCTGCTTGACTCAGACTGATCCTCACCTGCTGGCTGCTCACAGACACTGCTACTAAACACACTGGAAACAAACGCCAGGGACTGGTCCGAGCCCTGGGCGGTAGGCGCTGTCCTGCATGTTTTAGTCCAATTGCACCCCCTCCCTCTAAGCTACCTTCAACATCACCAAAATGCCCATTCTACGCTGTGTGCTATGAAGACTTTAACCCTAGGACAAGAAAACTGAGGTTGTTTGACTTGTTAGAGACTGCATGATATTATAAACCATTATTTGTACTCTACCCAAGAGTCCTAGAAAGAAAAGAGAACATGTAGACAACCTTTTGTCGAAGTAGTTACTCGATGGTGAGATGCAATATTTTTACTGTTTATTTTCTTGTTTCTTCCATCTTGAAGCAGGGTTTCACTGTATCAAGCAAGGTCGTCTTTCTTTTTTTAACCAAAAGGGAATTTATCCTCTCACCAGATCGCATCTACATACCTTTAGACAAACGGAGAGGTTGTCACACTGTGTGTAAATGCCTGCTTTTCAAACACACACCACTCACCCATCTTCCATAAGCTACGGAAAAATGATATTGATATAAAATGTATATAGATATACTACTTTGAAAAGTTACATAGCTAAAAAAATATATTTATTTTTGTTGCTTTGTTCCTCCATGATAACTCATATATACATATATTGTACAGTCTACATAAAGAAGATTACCTAATGGATTGAGAAAAAAATACTTATTTTGGCTAATGATTTCAAAGTCGGGAGATTTTGAAAGGCTTTTGGGATATATATGGTGTACATTACTCAGTACATGTATGTTTGTTCTAGCTCGTCATGTTTCTTGTTTTGCGTTCTCAGAGATTGAGGTAAAGCATGTATAGGATGAAAGCATATGATTTTTACAGGAAAAATGCATGGACAAAACCGTCCGGGTGGTATACCAGAACAGAATGTTAAAGTTTGTCTTAAACGTTGCCATAATACAGTGAAAAAGGTTTGACTTATAATATGACTTACATGGCAAATGTTGTTGGCAGTTTTAGGGTCAGCACTTGAATATGGATTTACCATATTATGAAAATATATAATGTTCTTAAAAAAAAAAAAAAAAATGTTTTTATAAGGGAAGCATGAGGACATTGAATTTATAAGCCGACCTTAAATGCAATATGTAAACAACAATGTGTACCCCATCATAATGACATTATGATTTGCCAAAGATTCTAACACAACTTCTATGGTGTCTACATGTTTTGCTTTTTTCCAAGGAAATTGTGTCGCTAAGCCGAATGAATTCATAAATGTTCCTTCTGTTGCCAGTAAATATGCAGACCCACATAACACTAACACCACCGTTATATATGAACTAGCCTATTTCTCTCTCTCTTCCTCTCCATTGCAACTGAATGGAGTTAAGACTATTGTTACCCCAGTTAGAAATACAAAGCACTTATCAATGGAATACCACAACCATAAAACAGATGCAAAAATGCAAAAAATTACCCAATATAATTTCATGTGAATATCAGTGTTGAAGGCAAAATGTTGTCTACAATTCTTCAAAGCTCTTTTATTTGAGCTACTACGTCTAGCTATAGTCGCCTCAATGTCCAAACTGTGGCCCTCCATGGCCCTCTGTGGCCCTCCGTGGCTCTCTGTGGCCCTCTGTGGCCCTCCATGGCCCTCTGTGGCCCTCCGTGGCCCTCTCAAAGTAACATGATTTATTTATTCTCCTTATTTATTCTTTATTCGCCGGTATGTTGTTTTTTTGTAAGTCCTCAACATTTCAAGCTACATGACCGCGGTTGTCAGTCAGTGTTAACCAATGGAAAAGGAATGTATTTTTGTGTGGAGGAGTGTGGAGGAGATCAGTGTACAGACGGGACTTAATGAATGTGTGAATGTGATACTAAGGATGTACAGAAGGGTCTTGTGTTTTTTTTTTCATTTGCATTATACTGTCATGGCTTACCTGTTCCTGAGGAGAAAAAAAATACATTAAAGCAATACAAATCAGTTACAGTAAAACATAAGGTTGTTTGAGCGTTCAGTTTCTCAGTCATTGTGTGTAGTCATCTTAACTGTGTCTCTATGGTAACAAATCTCTTATGACCATAGCGTTATGTTTTGAATTGTATGATCTTATATGGTTATGACTATCTAGATCAGCGTTTCCCAACTCCAGTCCTCCAGTACCCCCAACAGTACAGATTTTACTTGTGGCCCCAGACAAGCACACCTGATTCTACTTGTCAACTATTCATCAAGCCCTTGACAAGTTGAATCAGGTGTTTTTGTCCGGGTCTACAACAAAAATGTGTGCTGTTGGGGGTACTGGAGGACCGGAGTTGGGAAACACTGATCTAGGCATTCTTATAAACACAGAGACCAATCCTCACTTTAGATCTGTCCACCACACAATTCTGACTTGCATTAATCATGACTTGATGTCACTTGGAGATTTATCCAAACATTTGACTTACACATTTCAGTTCCAGGTTAGGATTCGGTCCAGGGAATTGATTTGTCAAATCCAGGCTTAATTGGTAAAAAGTGAGCCTGTGGTTACATCTTATATCCACTCAGTGGCAGTATCTGTCCTTCACAAGAGAGTAGGCTACTTTCCTGCATGCATTTATTGAACAGGTTATTAACAGTTTATGAATGCATATATAGTTCAAATAGCTAGTACAGCCTATGCAAATCAAATATTTTATGAGGTATCCCCCAAGTATGTTGGCCTATATGGATTTAGTCTTTTGAAATGCTTTTAAAATGTTGAGGTTTCTTAGACATTGGGAGCTCTGTAATCTAACAGTTTTAGCCTCTGTCGCAAATGAAGATCATTGCAATGGCAAACCACTGAGTATTTTCCCTAGAAAATAAATTTTTCCTCACTGTCAATCATCAACACTCTTGCCAGCTTTAAGCGTGTGCTTCACTACATGCTATGTTAAGGTTAAAAAACATGTTGTGGTAGCTCATTAGGGGTTAGGGAGGTAATGGGTGTGTATGCGATACGTTAAAGCAGTGTTTTCCCAAGAATCCCCACGTTTCCCACATAGTGAACAGGAGAACACACTGGGGCTTTAGATGGACCACAGCCCAACAATCCTCAGGAACCACTGATTTAAGAGCAGATTGAATTCAGACATGTAAGCCAGCCCTTTATTCAATGTGGGGGTCAAACCTTTAAAGAGGAATATAGGGACTTGGGAGGTCAACGTTTGGGAATCTGGCATGACCTTTAAAACAGGAAATGTATGTTTGGTAGTGGGAATAGGAAGTTGTGGGCAGAATGTCCTTCTGAGCATGCCCGGTATGCACACACGCTGAGGGTCATGGGATCTAGCAGGGGGTTCTGCGCCAGGTGGTGACCATGGCGATAGTAAACATTCCATAATCTTGGGTCATGTATCATCTCCAGGAAGTGATGCAATGGTTGCTATGTGGTCGTTGGGGCAAACATTTTGACACTTAATTTGTTTAGAAAAAGGCTGCATTTCTGTAGCTGTTGACATTGGGAGTTGAGGACAAATTTTCCAAAATGGTACTCAAATATGGGCATTGGTTTACCTGCCACATAGCGTTTCTTTAAATGGAAATGTGCATTATAGGCCTACCAATTCCAAAACCTTGGGTTCATATCCTTTACAAAAAAAGATTGCCGTTTTGAAACTGTAGTAAAAGTGCAGTAACTGCAGTTGACTATGGTATTTTGGATGCAGTAATTGAAGAATGACTGCAGTGTACTGCAGTTGAACTGCAGTTATACTGCACTCTAACTGCAGTTACACTTCAAAATTACTGCAGTAAAAAAAACTGTTATTTTGGACGCAGTATTTGCCGCATACTGCGGTTATACTGCACTCTAACTGCAGTTATACAGCAGTGTACTGCAGTTGTACTGCAATCTTTTTTCGTAAGGGATTCCTCACAAACCATGTTTGTCTACTTTATTGTCATCCCTATAGCAACCCTCTGTGGGCGATAGCCGTCTAACCCCTCATTCTGTGTTCATTAAAATTCACTTTGTTAATCTGACGCTGTAAAAGCTGAGGTGACATCACGGGTGTCAGTTGTGGGTTTAATGAAAACATTGTGCTGCCTG